CGCTGCCCCCCGGGCACGGCGGCGGCGGCAGCAAGCTTGGGCCCAAACGCCGTGCCGCCGAGTCCCGTGGCTGCGACCGTAGACCGTGGGCCGGAAACTGCGGCCGCAGCTCGGCGGCACGTGGTTCTGGTCAAATCGCCAAGCGTGCAGCAGCGCCGAACCACGCTTCCCGGCCTCGGCGCATGCCTTCAGGGGCCCCCTATCGCTGGGCACACCCCTCCAACACCGAACATGCGCCCGGGGGGGAGGGCGGCCCGGGCGGCCCAGGCCAAAGTGGGCCGCCCTCGAGCAAGAGGCGGCCGGGCTGTGTGCTGAATGAATGAATGAATTGCGGCAACGTGACCGAGTCGCAGATCATCGGCTTCCTTTACCTGGTTAACAACCGAGCGCGCCTGCAGATTGGCAAGGTGTTCAGGCAAGCGCTTGCAGCGCTGCCTGAAGCACCTGCGGGCATGTATGAGGGAGCATGGATGTGTGGGGCCATTGGGAAGGCCGCCGCTGGACTTCCGCCTCGCCAAAGCACCCGCCAAGCCTGCCCCGCCTCTTTTGACGTGCCTGGGCCCCGCCCTCCACCGCCGGCCCAGCCCTCCTTGCAGCTGGGCCCACCAGATGGACGACCCGCCCGACACGGACAGCCCGCAGCGCGCGCGGCAGTGCCAGTACCTGTATGAGCGGGTGCTGCACGCCGTGCTGCGCACCGCGCTGGCTGAGGAGGCGGCGGCGGCCAGCGAGGGCCAGGGCGAGGGCGCGGCGGAGCTGACGGCGGCGCAGCGGCATGCCACCGTGGAGCGGGCGCTGGAGGATGAGGACATGCAGCTGGGGCTCATCACCGCCTGCGTCGAGGTGGGCGCGCCCCTGCTGCAGACGCCGCAACTGGTTGCAAGCGCGAATGCCTCCGCATCGGCAACCTCATGCCGCAGCTGCCAGGCTACCTTGCTGCCTCAGCCTCCCGATTCCTGTCCACCAATCGCAGGTGGTAAACTTCGCGTACCTGCGCAGCGGTGACCGCGCCTTCCCCTGGGTGACGCTGCAGCTGGGGCGCATGCACCACACGCTGGAGCTGTGGCAGGTGGGCTGCAGGCTGGCTGCGCACGGCAGGGAGATGTGGACGGGCAGCAGCAAGGGGGGGTGGCCCCGCTGCACGCATGCAGCACAGCTGATGCGGCATGGCGCAAGCCCCTGCGACCTGCGCAGGGCTGCGACTGGATCGTGGACCATACAGAGAGGCCGCCGGAGGGCACCGAGGGCTGCGTGCCTGGTGAGCATAGGCCAACAGGCCCACAGCCCAGCCAGCGGCCTCAAGCCCGCTGGGGCACTATTGCAAACCAACTACTATTGCACACCCATCCCACCCGCCGCTTCCTGTTCCTGTCCCGCAGGCATACCGGAGGAGGTGGCTGAGTACCTGGCCGCCATCCAGGCGGGTGTTGCTTGGTGGCTTGGGGGCAGCCGGGAAAGGTGTTGCTGCGTTACGCCGCTGTGGTGCCCCTGCATGCGGCCCCCCGTGCCTGCCCGTCTCCCTCTCTCGTTCCCGCCCTGCTGGACAAGCTCAAGCTGCCCCTGTGCTCATCTGCTCTGCTGCTGCTGCTGTGTGTGTGGGTGGGTGCCACATCAGCGCAGGTGCGTGTGGAGGAGGAGCTGGCCTTCATCGACGGCTCCGCCATCTTCAGGCGCATCATGGCCACGGGCGCCAGCTGGGCGGGGCCCGGCAGCAGCAACCCCGCGGAGGCCGCAGGAGCTGCAGAGGCTGCAGACGTCGACATGGGTGGGTCGCGTTGAGGGCACGACATGGCTGTGTGGGCAGGCGGAGCCAGCCGAGGCATGTGGATATGGAAGCAAGCATGTGAGCTACGCTCCCCCTGGCTGGCCGCCTGCCCTGCAACCCTGCAGACGGCAGCGACACTGGCAGCCCTGGGAAGGGGCGCGGGCAGCAGGGTCGGCGCCGCAAGTACGGCGGGCGCTCCACCGTCGATGCGGTGCTGGTGGGTCGCTTCCTGTCCAACCTGGGGCGCACCGCCATGCTGCGCACCTTCAGCGTGTGCAAGGAGGTGCTGGCGCAGTTCCCGGCGCTGCACCTCGCCTGCCCAGGTGGGCTCTGCTGCCCGTGTGCGCGTGCGGCAGCGGGCACAGCGCACCTGCCCTGGCTTGGCCTGGATGCTGCCAGCGCTCTCCCTTGAGCCAACGCCACAGGCCTCCTGCCGGCCTGCCTCTCACGACCTTCCTGTCTCCCTCGCCTCCCCGGCCGGCAGCGCTGCCGGAGCGCGTGTGCGTGGTGATGGATGTGCTGCTGAGCGAGCACCTGGAGCTGGTGTTTGGCCAGCACCTGTCTGTCTGCCTGGCCTGCGCCATCTATTACACGGTGAGCGCACCCGCTCGGGAGGCGGCGGCGGCGCCGGCATGGCGCAGCAGCCCCGTCCCTGCCCACGCCGCCGCTCCTGCTACGCCGCCACGCCGGATGCCGTTCATGCGCGCAGGTGCGGCTGCACGGCGAGATGCTGCCCTTTCGCAAGATCACGTGGCTCATGGCTGAGGTGCGGGTCTGTGCAGGGTGCGCTTAACACCGAGGCACCAATGTGGGTGGCCGCGTCCAGCTCCCACTCCCTCTGCACTGCGCTCCCAACTCCCTCCCCCAGTTCCTTAATGCTATGCTGAGCCATGCTGTGCTGCGCTGTGCTGCGCTGTGCCCCAGGTGCTGCCCCACCACGACGAGGCCACCTTCAGCCGGGTGGAGCTGCCCCCCGAGGACGGCACCGGCTGGGACGGCAGCCGCGACTACGGCGACACCCGCGCCTACTACAACCGAGTCTTCCTGCCTCCCTTTGCCGCCTACGACGCCAGCCAGCTGTTTGGGTGGGGAGCAGGGAGTATCGGGCGGGCTGTGGAGGGCAAGGAGGGTGTAGCCGCATCCTTGGATGCCAGCCTGGGCCGGTCTCCTGTGCCCCCACCAGGTGCCCTACAACCCTTGCCGCTGCTGCGCAGGGATGACCTGGCCCCCACCCCCTCCAGGCGCCTCCTGGAGGCGCCTCAGCCAGCCACTCGCAGCGGCACTGCTGGCGACGGTGGCAAGCACGCGTCAGAGGGTGGGCAGGAGGCAGGCGCGGCCGGGCACAAGCAGCTCAGGAAGCAGCAGCGCCGCCCGCTGGGCCTGGTCAGCACAAACAGCAAGGCGTCAGCGGGGCACTGAGGCCAGCCGCTGCAGAGCCAGCCCAGCTGGGCAGCCGGCTGAGGCAACTGTGTGGGAGGGCCTGATTACTTGGAGGCACGGCAGCATGGCCGTCCAGCCTGCCGTGCCGAATCTATGGCAATACATACGAGGAGAGGGGCAGCAGCAAAGGAGCAGCCAAACGGGAGCAGAGAGCAATGAAATGTGTGATGCGATTGGCATGGGTAGGGTGAGGGGATAGGGCAGCGAGGAGTAGCACATGAGTGGATCCATCAATCACGAGGCATGTGCGGCTATGAGAAGAGCCCCCTTGTCCTTGCAATTCAACTTCTTTCTTCGAGCGCGTGTGTACGTGTTTCTTACGTCCTCCTCCGCCGCCTCCTGTAACACTCAGCGCAGCCCATCCGCATGCCGCTGAGCCCACCAGCTGGGCCCTGGCCTACAGCTGGGCCCTAGCTGAAGAAGTAGGCGGCCTGGCGCAGCTGGTCGAGGTCCAGGGTGCCCTTGGGCGGGATGGGGGGGAAGTCAACCGTCGGGTAGAGGCGCTTGAACTCCTCCAGCAGCTGCTCCAGCAGCGGCTGCAGGGCCGGGGAAACGCGTGACGGCGGCGAGGCAGCGGGTCGGCGAGACATGAAGCGTGGGGGCCACTGCTAGGACGGAGCGCAAAGGCAGGGAGGACGCAAGGCGGCGGGCCTGTATGCCCTGACGCACCCCGGGTCCCCGGGTGCCCCCTGCCCTCCCTCCCCACCTGCTGGTGCAGCTCGATGAACTTCTCCCGCAGCAGCTCGTTCATGCGCTCCACGGTGCCGGCATGCGTCCAGAAGGAGTCGTGCACGCCAGCAAAGTCGATGCCTGTGGGGCAGGAGGCGGGGTGGGGTTTCAGGGAGGGAGGAGGTGTGAGGGCCGGAGGGAGTGGCAACAACAACAACGTGGCTGGCTGGCTGGCATGGTGCCGGCAGCGCGCGTGGCGCAGCGCCGAGCGCCGCGGGCAGGCAGCCATGCGGGCAGGCAGGCCGTCCCTTCAGAGCGGGGCAGGCGCTCTCCAGCCTCCGGCGGCGGCGCCCGTGCTCTCACCCTCCTGCTGGCACGCGATGGCCGTCAGCATCATGTGGGAGGAGTCTATGGAGTGGATGTAGTTGGGCGGGAAGGCGGTGCGCTGGCGCTGCTTCATGATGGGCAGGTCGTCGTTGTTCTCAACCAGCACCAGGCGCTGCGGGCAGGGCGGGGTGGAGGTGGAGGTGGGCGTGGGGAGGGCCAGCATGCGGGGTCGTTGCAGAGGGCAGGAGCCGGCTGTCAGCAGAGATGAGATGGCCTGGGAAGGGGACGTGGTGCGTGCACGGGCAGCTGGCTGCTGCCATGCAGGGCCCCAGGCGCCGGCCCGCCCCGCGCCCCTCGCACACCTGCAGCAGCGTGCGGACGTGCTGGCGGTCCTTGCGGCGGTAGGGCTGCACCACGGGCAGGCCCAGCGGCGTGTGCCACATCACGCTGTGCCCCTCCTTGGCAATCAGCCGCGCGCACTCGCTGCGGGGGCACCAGGGGGTGGACGGGTGTGTGGGGTGGTGTGAGGGGGCTTGCCACCCAGCGTGCAGTGTAAGAGTGCGGGAGGGGCGTAGCCAGATGTGCGACCTGCCCGCCTGGCAGCGCGGGGCAGCCCGCACCTGAGCCAGTGCATGGTGTGCTTGGCGCTCTGGAACATCTCGTGGAGGCACTCCAGGGTGACCTGCAGGCAGGCGCGGCGTGCGTGGCAGGCAGGCAGGCGAGCTCGACAGCTCGCCCCCCACCCCCGCCAAGCACGCCGCGGTGCTGCCGACCCACCCGCTGCACACATGGCCGCCCACCCCGCCGTACACACACGCCAGCCCTGTCTCCCTCACCTTTGCCGTGTAGCAGGAAACCTTGTACATGAACTGGTTGTCCTCAAAGCCGCGCTCCTTGAGCCGGTTGCCAACCTGGCGGCAGCGGCCAGGGGGTCAAGGGTCGCATCAGGGGCCGCTGGCTGGTTGGGCGGCACGATCGGCGGCAGGCAGCGAGTGGCAGACCACACCGCAAGCGCCGGCGCCGGCAGGTAAACAGCAGAGGCGCCGCGGCCGCCCACCTGCGCGCGTGCGCCCACAAACGTGACCCCATACACGCTCGTCATCACCGTCTGCTTCACCAGCTTGCGGTCCACTGCAGCGCAGCATGGCCAGTCCAGCACGGCGTGGCGTCAAGCAACAGCAGGCCGTGCGGGCCAGGGCGGCGCGCGGCTGCTTTGTGCTGTGCGCGGCAACCACGCCGCACAAGCTCCCGCGTGCCAGCCCTCCATGCCAGCCGCTCCCGCCCGCCTGCCCCCACCCGTGGTGTCCTGCAGCAGAGCGTGGGCCTCGGCGATGCCTGCCGCCGCGTCGGCGCTCACGCGCTTGCGCACCAGTGCCGCGATCTCGGTGTAGACGTCCTGCGCATAGGGTGTGGCACATAAGTAAGTCGGGTTGGTTGCTTGGTTGGTTGGCTGGTGTGCTGGGTTGGTTGGTTGGCGGCCCGCCGGGCAGGATGTGATGGCCTGGCAGGCGGGGAGGGCACCAGGCGCTGCCGAGGACACGCGTGGATGCATGCACGGTCCGGCGTGCGTGGCTTGCGGGCGCCGCCCCCTGCCTGCGGCCTGTCTGTGGGGCACAGGTTGACGGCATGGCCTCCGGAGAAGTCGCGGCCCAGCGCTGCATAGTGCTGCAGGCCGTTGCAGGAGCCGTCCTGGTGGACCGGCACGTGCGACACAAAGCGCGCGGGGTCGCCTGCGCAGGGGAGTCAGCAGGGAGCGCGGGGTGGAAGGGGTGGGGTGTGGGCTGGGGCGTGAGGGTTGGGAGGGCTTGGCGGAGGCCAAAGGGCAGACCGCAGCGGTGCGTGCAAAGGGAGGACAGCCGGGAGGGCGGTGGCCAGCGGGCGCGCCGCGGCGCGCTGGCGGGCGCGGAGGCAGAGCGCCAGCCATCGCCGCCGCCGCAGCCTGGCTCACCCGAGGCGTTGGCCTTGTGTATCTCGAAGCAGGTGGACAGGAACTGGAAGGGGTTCTCCGCTTGCCACCAATAGGCCACCTGGCCGTGCGAGCCGCGGGTGGTCATCAGCTCCCGCAGCACCTCCCGCTGCTCCGCGCGGTTCAGCGGGGCCTGCCCGTGGTCGGCCAGGTGCAGGTTAAGGCGGAAGGGGTCCCGTGCATTCTCTGCAGGCCAGCAGGACAGCGCGTGTCCCGCTCGATACCTCTCCTCAACCCCAAGGGGGCGCACATCGCTGGCCAGCTGCCCGGCGCAGCACACGAGCAGGCAGCACGCGGTCCCGGACCGCTTGGAGCGGCCCTCAGGCTGGCACTCGGGCATCAGGCGGAGATGGTGCGGCAGTTTCAGGCGGTACTGGTACTGCAGGCAGTACGCACCCACGATCTGGGCCAGGTGGTCCTCCACCCACTTCACCCGCCCCCACAGCGGCAGCTTGTCCACCCCCTGGCCCCACAGGTTGGCCGCCTGCGCCGAGGGGGCAACAGGGAGGGAGGGTCAGGCAGGCCAGGGGGCGGCGGCAAGCGGGGAGCAGCGCCGGGCCTGGATGCATGGAGAGCCGGCGCGCATCGGGGCGCCCAGCCGTGCCTGCTCCCCTCCCCTCATCTCCCAGGCCCTCCCTCTGTGAGCCCCTCCCTCCCCCCGACCTCCCCCCCCACCTGCACATACAGCCAGAACAGGCCGTGCTCCCCCAGGGGCCGACCCTCCGCAAACTGCAGCAGGCCGCGCGACAGGTCGGCGCCCAGGTGGTTGAGGTGGGGGTGCATGGGGTAGGCGCGGCCGCGGAAGTCGACGTTGTGCGGGAAGTAGAAGCGCGGCTCCTTCACAAACTCGCTGCGGGGTGGAGGGGAGGGGGAGGGGACGGGGAGGTGGGGGGTGACGGGCAAGCTTCCTCAGCAGGGGCATGCGTGCACACACAGGGTGGGCTGGCCAGCCGCCTGAGCAGCCACCTGGAGCTCCCGCGCGCCCCGGGCCGCGCCCTCCCGGTGCAACCGCTGACTGCTACGTGCCGCCACGTACCGCCGGGTATCACCCTGTATTACTACGGTACCGCCCCCTCACCGCGCGATGGCCAGCTTGTACTCCATGTCGCACCGCAGGCTGTGCAGCTCGCGGTTCTTCTTCTGCATGCGAGAGATGTCGGCGCGGCGCGTCCGCAGCTCCGACAGCGACGCCGACTGCGGGAGGGGTAAGTGAGGAGCAGGCAATGATGCCAGGCAGGCCGCGGCAGCAATGCGGGTACCGCCGCCGGCCTGGCTGGTGCACCGGCAGCTCTGCTCTGCTCTGCTCACGTAGAACTGCAGCTGGCCAGGTGCATGGCGGTGCTGGCGGAAGCCGGGCTTGAGGTCCCGCGGCAGCGGCAGGTTGACCTTGGGGGGGATGTCGCACACGCCGCCGCCCCAGGCCCACACTGCACATGCAAGGAGACGGCCGGGCACGGCAGCAAGGATGACGAATCGGCGCGCAGCTGCAGGCGGGCGCCCTCCCGCATGCCGGGCAAGCAGGCATGCGACCCAGCAGGCTTGCGTGCTGGGTCGCAGCAGCCGCAGGTATCAAGTGCCCGCGCTGGCCGCTCCCGCTGCTGCCCTCCTGCCCTCTGACCAGCCGCGCGGGCCGGCATGCGGCCTCACCCGTCTCCACCACGCGGAACACATCCTGGTTGATGGCCCAGGCGGTGCTGCCCAGCGAGTTGAGCGCGTCGTACACGCGGGACAGGCCTGGCCCCCGCCCCTCCCCCCACTCCTGGTCCGCCGCATCCAACATCTCCTGCTGCAGCCGGCTGCCGCGGATGCGCATGACTGCGGGCAGGCGGGTAGGTAGGCGGGCAGGCAGGTGTGCAGGCGAGGTCAGGCGGCAGGCGTGGGACGTGCTGCTGGGGCCAGGGGGAACAGACAGCAGCCCCGCGGCGCAGCGCAGCTTCCAGGCAAGCCGGCGCCTGCCGCGCGCACCCGTGTTGCGCAGCGTGAGGTGGCCCCCCAGGTTGTTGCGCAGCCAGGGCACGGGCGGGATGAGCATGGGCAGGTACTGGGGCAGGAAGACCTCCACCATCTGTGCCAGGGTGTGCGTGGTGTGTGTGTGGTATGAGTGTGCGGGGCCAGGCGTCAGGAGGGAGGGACTGCCGGCAGGCAAGGGGCAGCACAGCGTGGGTGCCAGGCGGGAAGGGCATTGGGCGCTACACCACACCACACCATGCCCTCAGCTGACGAGGGCTGGGCAGGCGGCACAGCACAGCAAAGGGGGCGAACCAGGAGCCTCACCACAGCCCCACGAGCCCCAGTCCCCCACACTGCCTCGCACCCCCACCCCACCCCACCTGGTGCGGCTTGATCTTGGCCATTATCTGCTCGTGTGCGGCCAGCAGCCCATACTTCTTCCACATGCCTGCGGGCGCAGCGGGCACAGCAGGCACAGTGGGCAGGCAGGCGGGCGGCGCGAGGCGTGAGCCCGCAGCAGTGGCCGGGGCAGGGGCTCAGTGGAGGCCCGCAGGAGCCGCCACCAGCAGCCTGCTGGTGCGCAGCGCCGCCACGCCACTCCTGCCCACCGCCCCGCCCACATCCTGCTGCCTGCCCCGCCGCCCCTGGCCCCTTGCCCCGCCTGGCGCCAAAGCGCGGCCTCACCCCGCGTGCTGCCATCGTGCCCCAGCTCCAGCTTGTGCCAGAAGGCGGGCACCGACTGCACGCCGCCGCCCGGCCGCTTGACGTCGATCTTGCAGCTGTCGCACAGCAGCTTCATGAGCACCACGCCGATCTGTGTGGGGGGGAGTGGGGAGAGGGGCAAGTGTCAGGGAGGGTCGGGGAGGGTCGGGGAGCAGCAATCCAGGGGTGCCAAGGAAGCGGTTGAGAAAGGTTGGGCACCACAGCAGGCCCCGACCCCGATCAACCTCTTTCCGCGCAGGCGCTGCCCCAGCCCCCGGGCCCACCCCCGCCCCCACCGCCGCCGCCCCACCTTTGCCAGGATGTCTGACCGCCAGTTGGCCTCCTGCCCCTGCAGCACGCGGCGCGCCGCCGTCTCCACGCGCCGCACGTTGGTCTGCCCCTCCCGCGGCAGCCGCGCGGCGGCGGCCGACAGCCGGCGCAGGCGGTCCTCAAAGTCGCTCTTCTGCGGGGGAGGCAGCGGCGCAGGTGGCGCGGCAGGAAAAGGGGTGGGGGCAGGGGGCGTGGCGTCAGCAGAGGGCCAGCGGAGGGCCCTCCCAGCAGCCGCCCGCATCAGCCAATGCACATGGCGCGTGCCACGGCCTGCTTGCCCGCTTGGGGCGCTGCCCTCCCGCCTCCGGCCAGCCGCCCCCACGCAGCGAAGCCAGGCGGGCAGGAGTAGGCAGGTAGAGGCCACGCTCGCGCACGCCCGCACCCAGCAGAGCGAGGCAGGCCACAAGGGGGGGTGCCAACAGCTGCAAAGACTGCACTAGGCTAGACTGGGGGGCGCTCACCGCGAACCAATCGTTGGCATCCAGCGGCAGCACCTCCCCCATCTCCCGCAGGCTGTTGCCCACCGCCAGCCACTCCACCCACTCGCCCTCGGGCAGCGCCGCAGCCGGGTCGGCCGCCCGCAGCTCCTCCAGGCGCTGCCGCAGGCGGTGGCCCTGCGCGGCGGCGGCGGGGGCGAGGCGGGGGGCGGCAACTTGGTGTCATTCAGGCAGCAGGCCGGCAAGCACGCCGCACGCAGCGGACAGCGGGCCAGGACTCCTGCCCACACACGCCGACCTCCACACCACACACGCAGCAAGCGTCCACACACCGCCAGCCTCCTTCATCCCGCTGTACCGGCCTGCCGTACCGCCCCATTGTACCGCCCCACTGTACTGCACCTGCATGTACAGCTCCTTGACCTCCTGGCGCAGCAGGTTGTGGGCGTGCGCCTCCGCCTGCAGCTTCTCCAGGTTCACCTGCCCCTCCACAGCCTGCAGCAGCAGGACGAGGGGAGGGCGGCGTGGACGAGAGAGGAAGCACCGGCGCTGGCATGCCCTCAGCTGCCTGCCACGGGCCGGCCTGCCAGGGCCGCAGGGTTGCCAGCCCTCCTCCTGCCCCCACCTGCCTCCCCTCCCGCCTCCCGCCCCACTCCCCCACCCCTCCTCCACACCTTGCCGATGTTGAGGGCCAGGCGCGTGACGCGGGCCTGGCCGGGCGAGGAG